CGGCTCCTCAAGAGAAAAACCACAGGAAAGTGTCCCATATTCTTTCTATGGTTCGCCCCACACGGGGTTTTGAACTGGCCCTGCCCCGCGCTCTGGGGTTTGGCCCGGAGGGGGGGGCCACTTGATTGTCGCAGCCCTTGGCTCCCTGGAGAATGCGAGGAAGTGGCTTTTCCTCCCTGCGGCCTTATCGGTGGGCACGACCCCAGCTGACTGGCTGCGCTGTTTTCACAGTCCGATTAGCTCCTTCCGTAGAACAATAGGAAGCGAGAAAAACGCCGGTGCTCGGTGCTCTCGGGTCTCGGCCGATTTCTGCTGAGTCAGAGCCCGGTCCTGAAGCGCCGCTGGGCGTGAGAGAGCCCCAGCCCCAGCCCCAGCCCCAGCCCTATTCCTGGCCCAGCTCGTCCGCGCTGCAGAAATTTCAGGAAGTCAGCCACGGCCGGATTCAGCGCTATTTTTATTCCTGTACCCAAACGGTACATGAGTGTGTGTGTGTGTGTGTGTGTTGGACGTGGGCTTATTTTGGGGGTATAAGGAGCTTCTCGCTATGTTTTGAATTGTTATAAAATAGCAAACTTTTATTGAGCCCCTGTTGAGCAGCTGGCACCGTGGGCCCTTTACAGGCATGTCTGACGTCTCTCAGATGTCCTCGGTTGCTGTTGGCACATCAGTGGGAGGGATTTGCCCCCGTGGGCTGGTGGGCTGTGAGGACCGGCAGAGTAGCTGCGAGCAGGGGCCCACCCCAGGGAGCAGGACTTACCTCAGCAGGGCCCTGGGGCCCATGAGTGGACTGCTTGAGTGTGTGTCACTCGTGGAGGTGGCCGGGTGATGCTCTAGTGTGGTCTGAGGCTGTCCATCGGGTGCGCTGGCTCTGGGGCCCCTGGGAGGTGCCTGGTGGGAGCTACGGAGCGATCTGCAGGTGGCTGCCACTCCTGCTGGGCTCGGGGGTGCCTGGGAGAGGCTACGCTGCGGGCCCCGGGCCGCGTAGCAAGAGGTACGGGGCTCACCGAGGCCGGCGCTGCTTGTTGGGGGTTTTAGGAAAGTCTGAAGCGTGAGCCCGGACAGGCCTCTGGTAGCTGGGCAGGAGGCGGGTGCCGCACTCACCCAGGCTGCCGTCCTGGCCCGAAGCCTCCTGCGTCCCTGCAGCAGCCCCGGGAATCCCTCCCGCAGTCCCTGGGACAGGCGGCACTGCGCACCGACTTCCCGCACGTCCTCGCCGGAGACAGTGCTCTCCAGAGCCCCGCTTTGCTGGGGACGGGCCAGGAAGGGAAGAGGCTCCTATTGGACGGGCTGGTGTTGACCTTCGACCCCTGCATCCCGCGCCTGGAAAGGGCATCCAACCCAGGCCCAGGTTTCCCTCGTTTGCAAAGGCCTGAGCCTCAGACACCCCTCACCTCTGCTGCTCCTCCCACCGAGCCACTGGCCTGAGAACTTCTCGCTACCCTGAGTTTTTTTGTCGGTCTTTGCTGTTTGCTCCGATCCCTTAGGTGGTGCTGTGGATGCGCGTGTTGTATCGCTTCTGTCTTTATCGGTCACTGGCTGGCTACCCCCTTGAGCTCTTTCTGGCAGGACCCCCACGGCCTGGCCTGGGTTCCGCTCGGTCTCGGTCCTTGGTTTTCATCACTGTTTTCTTTCTTTCTTCCCCCTTCCTCCTAACGTTTGCCAGCCCCCTTTTAATTTTCATACATTTTTCCAGGGTGGTCTTAGCCTGCCTTTTTGTTTATCGTGGTTCCGTTCTTCCTTTCAGTAGTTGTGCTTTGGAGGAGGGGAGGGGGAAGGACAGGCCAGGGCTCGGGGCCAGCTCCAAGGGGCCCGCCTCCTGGGGGACAAGGGGCAGAGGGCTCTCAGGGGTGGTGGTCTGGCCTTCCCTGCTTTTGGAGACTGGGCCAGGTCCCCCTCCCCGCTCCAGGCTGGCACAGGGGCCTGGGCCCGTCCGACGGCCACATGGTCAGCCCTGACCCCTCGTGTTCTCTGCTCCAGGAGGGCGAGGGCTCCCCTCTGTGTCCCGCCAGGGAGGCCACAGCAGGCAGCCCTCCCGGCCTTCCCTCGCCCGGCCTGCTGGACGCTGCACACTTCTTTCCCATATATTCGTTTGCACTTATAAGGTTTCCTCCTTTCTGTGCATTTTCCTGTTTTCAGACAGTTTTCGAAAGAAGGAGCCAGGGACCTCTTGCAGGTGTGAATGTGCTCTTTTAAGAGAGCCCCGCTTTTTCTGGATAAAGAAGGTGAAGAACTGGAGGCATTTCTCTGAGAACCGGTTGTCCTTGGTGTTCTCTCCACGTGTGTGTTCCCCCCGGGGCCAGAGGCGGGCTGCCTGCGGATAGGGGCGAGGTTTATGCTGCCCAGGGCCTGGTGAGCTCCGGGCGGCCTCGGCGGCGTCTCCGGCATCTCGTGGGAACATCGGTGTCCGTGGCATCTCCTGGCGATAACCCCCTTCCTGTGGCGATCTCTCCGGACACGCAGGATGCATTACTCTTGCTTATCACCCAGAAGTGATAACAGTTGCGAATTCTTTATGCTGGTGGCCGAGGCAAAGGGCTCTATTTATATTTCAAAATGTTTCCCGTCCTCTGTAAAATGTGGAATGTGCGGCTACTGCTGAACATGAACAGAAAGAGGAGAAATAGGACAACTCTGTTTATAGCAGCTTATCTCGGTTTCTCTCCAGTATCTGGAAGCTGGAAAGGGAGAGAAATGGGGGTCTGAATTCCTCACGTTCCTGTTTAAAATGAAAAGAGGGCCAAGGGAATGTTTATTGACCGTGAGCAAGCTGGCCTGGGGTCACTTCCCCGCTCCCGTAGGGTGACTCCTTGTGGCCAGGCGGGACTGGGCCTCCCTGGGAGAGCCCAGGGTTAGGTTTGGCAAAGGTGGGTGAAGAACTGTCCCTAAAAAGGAGCGTGGAAACCCTGCCCCTTCCTCCAAGGTCGAGTGTGTCATGGGCTCCGCACCCCCATGCCTGACATCCGAGACGTGAGGATGCCTCAGCTTTTACTAAGCCCACGGGCCCACGGGCCCATTCTGTCCCAGTCGGGCCTGTGGGGAGCCAGCATCTTCCCCAGGTGGCCTCTGTGAGCATCAGGTATTTCATGGTTCCGTCCAAAACAAGTCCCAGGCGTGGCCGGAGGAAGGATAGGCCCCTGTGCTGACCCCAGGTTGGAGGTCAGAGCTTTCAATCAGTGTCTCAACGGTTTGGGCTTTTATGACTCTAGTGGCCGTGATTAATCCCCTAAACCAGGACACGTCAGAGAATACGATTAATAATTAAACAGAGTCCTAAACTGAAATTGGGAACGGCCCAGGCAAACCAGATGAATGGCCAGCCTAATTATCTCCTAAGTTTCTACGATAAATCCAAATACATTGTGATACATTGTAACTTATAGCTCACTCCCCC